GATATTGAATTAACTGATACCATGTCCTAATGATAATAATAAAGTACTTTATTAAAGCATGGAATTCTTTGTAGCTCTTCTCTGTCTCCCCTCTGGCAATGTACCCAAATTTAATGTACGCATTTTCAATTGTTTTACAGATTTCCTTTTCCAGACTGCTAGCCACCTTATTTTCTTCTATGAACTTAATGTTAATTTTTCTTTTTTAATCGTTTAGTTCAGTAGGATAAATTTTGCTAACACTAAATGAAGTAGAATAATTACCTGCCATTATAGCTCCCTGTGGTATAATTTGTTTTAGTGATACTTTCTTAGAGTGCCCCAACAGTATCTGGCGCATAGAGGTGATCAGTAAATATACTTAAATGAATCTCAGTGATTTGGGAGTTCTCTTTAATGATGTAGGCAGGTCACCTCTGCCTGTCCTATTTGACCTTTGTTCATTTTCTCCCATAAGTTTGTCATAGAGGGTCCACCCAATGTGCTTGCTTTCTCCTGACACTGAAGGTTTCCAGTGGAGCACTTTTAACTGTCCACCTTGTGTGACCAGCCCATCTGCTGTTCCTATCATACCTTTCTTTGATAGCGTCTTTTATAAATATTATTTTTTTTATTTGTTTTTTGGCAATTGAGGTTAAGTGACTTGCCCAGGGTCACACAGCTAGTAAGTGTTGAGTGTTTGGTCTGAGGCTGGATTTGAACTCAGGTTCTCCTGACTTCGAGGCCCATGCTGTATCCAGTGCGCCACCTAGCTGACCCTATAAATATTATTCTTTAAAGTTCCTTATTGGTTCTATGTTGCATTTTGTTCACACCCACTTTGATCCTTTCTATTACCCTCTGGGTGATAGTCATTTTTAATTCTTTGGAGACTTTTGTAATTAATGTTTTGTAGCCATATAGCAATACCAATAGAATATTAGTACTAAAAAGATGAACCTTTGTTTCCATGGTAATCTTGCCACAATTAAATGAACTTTGCAATTTACCAAAGGTAATCTGCCCTGCTTTCCTCCTCCAGGTCAATCCTGAACCAAACTTATTTGTCCGTATTGTCTGTTTCCTTCCCATATTCTGCCCCCCACCCCCCACCCCACTCCCAACCCTTCTCCCCCTGCCCCCCAGATGGACAAGCTTTATTTCATAATGTGGGTAATAGCCATTCTTTAACTCCTTGGTCTTTTCTGTGTAGATAATTAATCAATAAACATTTATTAAGTGCCTCCTCTGTTCCAGGCACCATGTTAAGCGCTGGGGATACAAAAGGAGACAAAAGGCAGTCTCTGCTCTCAAGGAGCTCACAGTCTAATGGGGGAGACAACAAGTAAACAAATATATACAAACAAGCTATACAAAGGATACATAGGAAATAGTTAACAGAGGGAAAGCACTAGAATTAAGAGGGGTTGGGTTCCATATATCTCCTAGGAGGCTCTGAAATATTCTGGGGCTTAGTGCAACCAGAACAATGTTACCCGAAAAGAGGAGCATCTGGAGTGCCATATCATCCACAGAAAATCCCTTTTTAACTTGGACTCTGCATTAGGTTTCCTTCATAATAGTACTGAATTCCTTTGGAGAGCGTATATCTCCCTATTTTATGTCTTCACTGATGTTTATAATTAGAGGATTGTTGAACAGGCTTGTTATATCTTTAAAAAGATCTTGAATGATTTTGATTTATGGATAGGAGAAACCTTGTTGGAAAAGAGCCTTCAAGGAGGTATTTTGCTATGATGAAATCAAATGCTTTTTCACAGTCAGAAAATGAGATCTTAGATTCTCTACTTTTTCCTGTCACATGCAAAATGGCATTGTTGAATATTGTTTGTAGAAGTATGCTTGTTCCTTACCAATATCCCCTGAGGAGGCCCTTGATGTGTGTATAGATTTTCTATAGATGGGTGAGTAGGCATATGAGTTAATAGTTGTTGATATTTTCTCAATCACTGCTCCCCCCTCCCCCTTTTTTCTTTTTTTGGTGTTAACGAGGTCCAAAATTTTTTTCCTGCTTTTGGTGTATTACTCTCCTTCAGATACCTTGAATATCAGTCCCCCAATGCTTTCACAGTTGCATCTCCTCAAGTACAAGTCTCTCTCTGTATACTTGGCATGGTCTTTTCCCATCATTCTTATTAGTGCCATTTCAGTCTTCCTAGAAACACATCTAGGGCTGTGATGTTTGGGTCCTAATGTGAGAATTCCATTGTTCTTGATTGTGAAAACATTTAATCGTATTAATCTTTACAGTTGTTTTTTCATTTTTATTGTTACCCTCTGATTTTTATCCTTAAATCTCTTTGAGATAACTTTGCTTAGCTGAATGTCTTGCCAAGCTTTTCTGGAAACTTGTTTTGCCTCCTCCCTGCCCCACCTCATTTCTCTGCTTTATGAGACAGTACTGCCTGTCATTATTGACATAATTGCCTGCCATCCTTTGTTATTGCCAATCTTTGTTTAAATTTTTTATAGACAATTGTGTATTCTAAACCAGTTTTTGCCTTTGGATGTCCACCATCTTCTGCTTGGCAAGAGAAAAGTATTTTCTTCTGGGCTCTTTTGTCCTTTTTGTTATGGCAATAGATTTCATTGGTTAAAGTTCTGTATAAAATTATTATAAATTTCAGTGCCATTTTTGGGTTTATTTCTTATTTTCATTACTAAATGCTCATTAAATAGTTTAGGATTGAGTTATTTTAGTTGTATTTTTCTCATTATTTTTCTTGCTTTTTATTAATTTTGATCATTGCCTTGACAAATTGGTGGTATGATTATATACAAACAGTTGATTCAGGGATAATCACTATATCAGTAACAAGTCTTTTCCTGTTTATTTGTTCTTTTTGTGAGTTTTTTGGGTGCATACCTTATCTAATTAGCCTCCAATTATTTTCTTGAAGATTCATGATATAAGGGTGTATAATCCACAATTTGATGGCCTTTAATGAATAAAAAAGTGAGAAGAGGTAAGAATGGCAAGAAGGCATGGTTCAGGAAAAAGAAATGAGTGAAGACAAATATTTGTAGATGAATAAGTCTAATTGATTAAATTATTTGTGAGTCATTTAAGTTATGGGGCGTTAAGTAGGAGAGCTCATTCATTCAGCATTCAATAAGCTATTTTGAAACCTGTAATACAAATGACAGGGAGAGAAATACAGTTAAATAAGATACAGTCCCTGTTTTCAAGGAGTTTATGGTCTAATCAGGTGCCCATGGAACATTAGGCTTTTTAAAAATATAGATGATTGATATCTTTTTTTTTAATATCGCCTGTATTTCCTATTCTTTCTCTCCATCCTCACCTCCAGTCCCATCTTTTCAGAGAGCCATCTTTTGTGGGGAAAAAAAAAAGAGTTTTTTTTTATAAAGAAGAGAAAAAACTCAGGAAAATCAACCAACATATTGAAAGAAATCTGATGTTATATGCAATGTTCCACACTATTGGCCACTTTCCCCATCTGCTCTTTGCAAAGGAGTGTGAGGAGGTGTCTGTTCATATTTCTTCTTAGGGGCCAAATTTGGTCTTTATAATTTCGTAACATTCTATTTTCATAGTCTCATGATGGTTGTTCTTTCTACTTATATTGTTGAAGTTATTGAGTATATTGTTTTTGTGGCTCTGCTCACTTCGCTTTGCCTGATGGTGAAGGTTAGTAGATGAAATACTGGGACCTTACAGAGGGGTGAGGCCTATGTAAATTACTTACCCTCCACTCCTTAGCTACACCAGCTCAGTATTTTATACAAATAAAAAAATACACACATATGTGTGTGTATTTATGTGTGTATACACACACACACATATATTTTATATATGTGTGTATATATATATATATATATACACACACACACACATATATAAAATATATCTCTGAGCAATACAAAGCTCTAAAATATAACTTATGTGCTCTTGGATAAATTAAAAAAAAACCCAAAACTTCTGGCCCTCAGTTTCCTTATCTGTAAGATGAGATAATTGAGCTAGCCATGTACCTATGAGGCAATGTGATGTAGTATAAGGAACATTGAGACCTGAGCTGAGTTAATGTGGTGTATTATACAAAATATTGAGATCTGACCTGAGTTAAAATCCTGCCTTGTTAACCCTTACCTGTTGTGTGGTTATGGACAAGTCCCCCAACTGAGCTTCAGTTTTCTCATATGCAAAATAGGAATATCAACCTCACGGTGTTATAGTGTTTCAGTTAATCAACACGTCCTCATTAAGTACCTGCTATGTGCTCGGCACTGAATTAAATATTGAAGATACAGAAATGAAACAGCCCCTGCCCACAAGAAGCTTACATTTTAATAGGGGAGATAATATGTACCAAGAGGTATACAGAAGATCCTTCCAGAGGAGTTAAACTGCAAGGCCTCCTGCATAAGGTGGTGCTTCAAGCTGAATCTCGCCTGAAGAATTGAAGCTCCATCCAGACAGTGTACAAAAGTGCTTTGTAGCCCTTGAAGTGTCATATACATGTTAGTTGTTAACAATGATTATAGGTGCTTTTAGAAGCACTCTCACTAATAGGGCAATCAGCATCCCATGGACCAGGTCACTGTCTTAACCTTTCTTCACCTCAGATTTTGACCTCAATCCATTGGGGAATTATTTCACCTTTTTGTAATTAAAAGCACCGAGAAAGTGGGATTCACTTTATATTCATAATCATGGGAATATATTTGTTTTATGTCAGAGAGACTTTACTCTTCTAAACAGCAGCTTGTCCACAAAGCCTAATGCTGAGGAAGAACTATTTGGAAACTACATGCATTAAAATACAATTTATTTTAATATTGAGCTCTACATTAAGCTATAACTTAACCAATTAATGTGATTAACTTAGAAAATTGTGAATTCTAAGTTAAAGGTGATGTAGTGTGATAATAATCGATATTTGGAGTAGCACAGTTGGCATAGTCATGTGATATTCTTTTTTTTTTCCAAGATCACTGAATCAAATAATCTTTTTCTTTCTTTTTTTCCTCCATAGATTCAACCCTTTTTGCTGAACTTGGTGATTTAATGGACACAGATGAGTTGCAGCTAGATGTAGAGAATGAAACTTATGTAAGTGTTTAGTAGAGGAGAAATACTGTTTTCTTCAAAGTGGCATTGAATCCTTACCCTAATTACTCAGAGATTTCAGGATAGCAGATTTAGATTTTTAGACTCTTTCATTTTCAACTTTCAATTCATGAGTATCATGGGAACAGCACTGGATTTCAAGTCAGAGGAACAAGTTCAAATCCCTGTTCTCCTACTTATCTATGTGACTGTGGGTTAGTCACCTAATGTCTCTTGACATTAACTTCCTCACCTATAAAATAAGTGATGTGGATTTCACTTCTAGCTGTAAAACCTATTAACTTAGGCACTTAAAATACTGTGTAAATCAGTCTGCCAATTAAAAATAAAAAATAGGATCAACCATGCACTCATTAAATATGGTGTGATACAGCGGTGTCAAACATTGGACGGGGCCAGATGAAAATGTAATTGGGAAACATAAAATAACATTACATTTTGAAAGTCAATATGAGGCCCCTAGAGATCCATATGTGTGGTTAGTGACTCCAGATTCTATTGGCATTTGACAGGATTGGATAGTAGAAAGAATGAGCACTGGAATCAGAAGAACTAGATTCTTCTGGTCGTGTCGTTAAATTGCTTTTCATTTGTATCCTTCTGAAAATAAGTTTGCTTTCACATATTATGATTAACAGTTTTCACTAATAGTTACATGTGTAAGGAAAGATTTTTCCCCTCTAACCATGAAAATACTTTGTATCATAGTAGCAATATCTCTTCCTTCTTTTATTGTTATTGTTTGTTCTTTGTTTTCAAAGCACACCAGTGACATCACAAGGGTGATGTCTTCACTTTTGTGTGAATTGATTTTATGTGAGGCAGAGTTTCACAAAGTTGTCAGCCTCACTGTCTTCCTGAGTCATCAAATTCCAGCGGCAGGGCAAAAGTCAAGATGACTGATGATGGCCTGGGATGACCTTGGCACCTTTGATATCTGACCAGGCTTTAAGTACTCTGTAGAGCCTGCTTCAGCTCCTTCATAGCCATTGGAACAAATTGTCCTCATCTGTCCATTCCACTGAGGGAAGTCTTCACATGCTTGGGGTAGTCATCCCCCTAACTCACTGAGGCCTGGCAGTTACCTTCAGCCTGGTTTAGATGGTTTGGCTCGGTGTGGCTGCTGTGCATGCTACAGCTTCTCGGAGCCACAGGTGATAGTTGGGTGAATCAGGTGGACACCAAAGGTGGATGAGAACCCCCCCTGAAAAGGGCTCATCCAACCCATACCAGAGGCACTCTTCCTCCTGAACACCTCATACACCCCTTGTTTTAAGAGCAGTTTTGAAGACCTAAGTACCATGTCAGAGACATGTTGGTTAATATTTAAATATCCTTTTAGTGAATAATTTTTTATCTCTAAATGTAGCTTATTCTCTTTGCTGCAGAAGTTCTTAAGCTGAAAAGATAAAGGTGGGCAGCTAGATTCTAGAAGGTGGGCACATTTAATTCAAGAGAACTTTATTTAGCACTTATAATGTGTAAGGCATTGTCCTGGGCCCTGAGGGGGAATACAAGCTAAAGAAAAATGTTCTCTGCCCTCAAGGAGTGCCCCTTAGAGCCTGAGAGAGACAAAACAGACCAAAGGGCTTTACCAAGGAAAGTGCTCTATGGGGAAGTGCTATAACAGTGCGTAAGAGGAAAGAAGTGACGTTTAGGCCGGGCCTATGTAGGATTTAAACATGGGATCATGAAGACGGAGGAAATAGCATTCCCTGTGTTGAAAAGGGAACAAAGGTAGGAACTTGTGGGAACTGATTCTTTGCTTGGAGAACAATAAGTAGACCCTGGAAAAGACAGATTTGAGAATTATTTTTTTTCAGTAATGGTGATGAAATTGTCCTGATCCATTCACACTCTTGTTCCTTTGTAAACAAGGACAGCATTTTAAGATTCGCATTATGCTGTCCTGGATTTTCATCTGTGTTCGTAGGTTTAATAACATTGAAAAGCACCAGTAACTAAAATTCTCATGAAACGCAAGCTCAAAAATAATAGAAAGTAGTTCAGTTTTACTGAATTTTATTTTAGGTCTGCTCTTTAATTTCTTTTGGTTCATTCATTCATTGATTCCACAATAATTATTTCTTGTTACTTGATCCCCTTTCTTCTTGTGTCTTTCCTCCTGGAGAGCTTTCTTCAAGTCATTCCTTCCCGAGTCTTTCCCCATCCTTAGACGTTTCCTTGGCCCAGTCATCTTCCCAGGCTATCATCCTTTGTTTCTCTTTCCTTTCACTGCCAGACTCCTAGAATAAGAAACTAACTCTACTTTCTTACCACCCATTCATTTTTAACCCTGTAAGTTTCTGACCCTGTCATTCTACTCAGCCCTCTCCAAGATTACCAAAGATCTTTCAGCTGCTAAATCAGATGGGCTTTTCTCAGCTTTCATGCTCCATGACTTGTCTGCAGCTTTTGACACTCCAGTTTACTTACCCTTTCTGGCTTCTCTCTCTTCCTTTTGCTTTTACAACACTGTTTCCTACCTACCTGTTGAATCACTCCATTTTAGCTTTCTGACTACTCCTCATTCCCTCTATGTTAGCATAGACGTCCTCCACGGCTCTGCCTGGGCCTTCTTCTCACCTTACACCCTCCATCTTGGGCCTTCTTCTCACCTTACACCCTCCATCTTGGTAAAAACTCATTAATTCCTATGGCTATGATGATCATCTCCATGCATATGACTCCTGAATTTATGGATCCACTCTAATCTCTCTCTAGAGCTCCATGCTATATGTTTCTACCTGGATATTCCATCAGAATCTCAAATTGAACATGCCCCAAATGGAAATCATTATCTTTCTCCCCCAAATCTACCTTTTCACCCTCTAAAATTCCCTAGGCCTATTGAGGGTACTACCATTTTCTCAGTTATCCAGGTTTGTAACCTTAGTTTAGTTGTTTTCAGTCATGTTTGATTTTTTGTGACCTCTCTTGGGGTTTTCTTGGCAAAGATACTGGAGTGGATTGCCATTTCCTTCAGGAACTCATTTTACAGATGAGGAAAGTGAGGCATACAGGGTGAAGTAACTTGCTCAACACAGCTAGTAATTGTCTCAGGCTATATTTGAACTCAGGTCTTTTGACCCTCTATCCACTGAGCCACCAACTGCCCCCTGTAACCTCAGAGTTATTCTTTACTGTTTCTGCTCTAACATCCCACATTCAGTTTCCTTATGTTGGCTTTTAACACATATTTTAAAAAAAAATTATGAACTTAACCTCAACAAATACGAGCATTTTAGTATTCTGAGAAAAAAAAAGAGCATATATGAAATCGTGAATTTATGATATATACAGGTTTTTATCATAGTAGTCACAAAATTGCCCTGTTTGTGTTCCCTTCTGATTTGTTTTCTTTGAACCAAGTTTCTTTTTTTATTCTTTTTCCACTGTCTCTTGCCTCTATCCCCTCACCCCGACTCTTAGAGTCAGTGCCCTAGTTTAGGCATGCTTCACCTCTTGTCTGAACTCTCAACTAATTGGTCTTCCTGCTTCCAGCTCCTTTCCTGTCTAAATGGCTGCCAGAATGAGCTTCCTAGGGCCTAGATCTGACCATGTGACTGCTTAGATGACTTCTAAAACTCCCATTCAGCTTTCCTTCTACAATCTTCCTACTCCTGTTCAAACACTTTCAAAGGCTCTGTTTTACTTCTAGGGCAGCAGTTCTTACCCTGAGGTCCAGGAATTTGCTTTTAAAAGTACTTTGATAACTTCATTTCAATGTAATTGGCTTGCTTTGTCATCCTATGTATTTTATTTTATGAATTTAAGAACATTATTCTGAGAAGGGAGGCATAGACATTACCACATTGCCAGAGGATCCAAGATACAAAAAAACTCAAGAACCACTTCTCTGGTTCAAATAAAAACTCCTTAGGTTGTACTTTAAGGCCCTACTGGTTAGCTTCAACCTACTTTTCCAGCCTTATTTCATATTACTTCCTTTAATACACTCAACTATTCTAGTCAAACTAGACAAGTTAAATTTCTCTCATTTGGGGTTCCAGCTTTTGCTTCCATTAATTTACAAAGGACATCCTCACCCTGGAATGCACTGCTTCCTTACCTCTACCAGTTAGAATCCTCATCTTCCTTCAGAGTCAGCATAAGCATCATGTACCTCTAACCCCTACACCAGCTTGACAGACAGACTCAACCACGTTGAGGATACTACCGGGCCTCAAACTCATTAGTGAGTTAGGGGGATGTTTACCCCAAGCACATGAAGACTTCCCCTGGCAGAATGGGCAGATGAGAACAGTTTATTCTAGTGGCTCTGAAGGCAACTGAAGCAGGCTTTGTGGAATACTTAGAGCTTGCTTAGGCATTGAAGGTGCCAAGATCATCCACCGCATCCCAGGCCATCACTAGTCTTCTCAACTTTTGTCCTGCCACTGGACTTTGATGACTCCGGAAGAGAGAGTGAGGCTGACAACTTTATGAAACTGTGCCTCACTTAAAACCAATTCATGAGCAAGTCAAAGCATCTCCCCATAATGTTACTGATCTTCTTTGAAAACAAAGGAAGAACAATAAGGTGCCACATTCTCTCTTAAACCTTCTGGGTTGTTAATCATCTCTTCCTTCAAAAATCAACTTGTATTTACTTATTGGTGTATCTAGATAAGTAGGAATTGGGAAAGAAGAAGGTTACAAGAGCAGTTTGTGGCCATAGAACAAAGAGAGGTTGTATGACTTATGTTCACTCAACAAAATTTGTCAACTTTGTGTAATTCACTATGATAGATGTTGATTAAATGCATGACCTGGATCCCATTAGTATCATGCTCTCCACAACTGAATTTAACTGACACCGGACATTAGGTAAGTCCTTTAAGTGCTGCTACAAGATGTGATTGGATCATTTGGGAAACCCCTTTTTCTACATTTGGGTGATATAAATTATATATAATTTTTGGCATATTATTTCTGATACTTTATTGCATGTGATTTGTCTTTTACTCTTTTCATTTTCTTTGGCTGATTTGTAACCCACAGGAAAACAATTTCTATAACCTTGGCTTTGATTTGGATTTGATGCCATGGGACTCAGACCCTTGGGGGATTTCAAACCAATCTTGTACAGGTAACAGTTTGCCACTTTTAATTTGTAATGGGGTATATAGACAGGATTGACTTTTGGGTTATTCCACGGTACAGCCATTCAATTTTTCTGCTTGTGAGTCCTGATGGTGGTTAAAACACATAGTGGACTGTCTATTCTACCTGTTCTAGCTTGTTACTCCAAAAAAAAAAAAGAAAGAAAGAGAGAAAGGAAAGAAAAACACTTCTGCAGGATCAATAGAAAGAATTGCCTAAATCTTAAATATCATAAATGAATTTAAAATTCATGCCAGGAACAAAAGTATACCGTCAGTGAGAGAAATAGATGCCTGGGGCTGACCTTGGCTACATTTGACGGACAGTTGTCATAGAGAAAGAGATTTTTTTTTAAAAATCTGAAAAGTTAAAATTGCCTTAAAATTGTTTATCTGAATATTTTATAGGATTAGAAAGTATATAGATTTTTTTTACCCCAGACATTTCAGGTTATCAAATTTATAGGTTCTGTGTTCCAGAAATATTTTTGCCTCTCCTTTTCATTGTAGTACTGGCTTCAAATTAAGAATTTTGAAGTCTTTGGTTATGATTTTTTTTTTTACTTTTCTTTTTTTCTCTTATGTCCATCCTTGATCATATTGGTAACAGACACTCAGAATTAAAGTGGTTATTTATTCTCTTGTTTTACAAAACCAGTGCTGTTCTCTCTTTTTTTTTTTTTTTTTTTTAACCTCTGCTAATGGCAAATTTTACATTTTGAGTACTAGGTGAAATTTACTGGTTTAGATTAGCCTCTACTTAATTCAACAAGCATTTACGAAATGCCTGCATCCAAGGTATTACAATGATAACTGCATATGTCCTAATTATGCATTTGCCCAAAAGAGAAAAAAAGATTAAAATTGGGCATTAAACACACATTTATATCTGGGAATTGAACTTTCCAAAGTCAGCGTTTATGTTTAAGTATTTAAAGCTCCTTTTTAAATGTGGAATTTATTTTTACTCTTGTTCATTTTCTTCCATGAGTTATGATGTCTAGGTGGAAAAATCTCTTGTCCCATGTTTTACAGATAAATATATCAAGGCAGAGCCTCAGCCACTTTCTCCTGATTCCTCAAGCTGTTCAGTCTCTTCCCCTCAATCAGTGGATTCTTATTCTTCAACTCAGCATGTTCCTGTAAGTAGCTGGGCCCTTATGTTGACTTGGTCGTAAAAAAAATATGGAAGAGTAACACTTTAAAACCTTGCTAATTCACAATACTTGGATGAAGCCTGTCTGACTTGAATTAACAAATATTTATTAAATACCCTCTTTGTTCCAGGAAATGTGGTAAGTATACAAAGTCAAAAATGAAACAGTCTCTGTCCTCAAGGAACTTACGTTCTTTCGGGAGAGATAACATGTACAGCTATAAGTAATAGTATTAATAATAAATACCAGGTACTATTTTTGGAGAAACTAGTGGCTGGGGACAGAGGAACTCATCAGGTATCAGGAAATACCTCATGTAGGAGGTGTCTCTTAAGCTGAACTTTGAAGGCAGCTAGAGATTCTCAGAGGTGGAGATGAGGAGAGAGTGCTTTCTAGGCATGAGGGACAGCCTCTGCAAATGCCTAGATGGATGCTCTTTGAGAAGGACGGTAGTAGGTTTGGCTGGACCATAGTGTGTGTCAAGGGAAGTAATACATACCAAGGTTGGAAAGGTAGGTTAGAACCAGGTTGTGAAGGGTTGTCTTCATCCTTCCTTCTTGAAGAAGACCAATGACATCATGAGGGTGATGTCTTGACTTGTGTGTTAATTGAATTTGAGCGAGGCAGAGCTGTGCAAAGTCATCAGCTTTGCTCTCTCCCCCAGAGTCATTGCTCTTCCTTCAGATGTATCGGAGTCCAGTGGCAAGACAAAGGTCAGGATGACTGGCAGTGGTCCAGGTAATGGGAGCCACTGAAGTCTGTAAAATGAAGGAATGAAATGGGAGGCAAGGTATGTAGGCATGATCAAACCTGTGCTTTAGGAAAATCATTGGCAGTTATGTGGAAGATGGATTGGAGAAAGAAGAGACTTAAGGCAGGGAGACCAATTAAGGGCTGTAGCCATAGTCTAGGTGAAAGGTTATAAGGACCTAGACTAGGTTGGTGGCTATATGAGGGGAGAGAATGGAATGGATTTGGGCGATGTCATGGAGGCAGAATCAACAAGAATTGGTGCCGATTTTTTTAGGTAGGAAGCATGCTTTTAATTAATCACAGTATGCCTTATGAATTCAGATAACAATGGTAATAAACAAAATGAGATCAATTAGTGAAAAGATTATATCTTGTAATGGGCCTGCATTACACATTGTGTCTTGTAAACATTCAGATTTTTTAATATGTGGTAATTCATTTTGGTGCCCAAAAGTTTAAAAAAGTTAACTTACTGGTTTGTGAAAATATTGATTTTTATTCTGTTTTCCCTTTACAAGACTGACAGTTCACAGAGGAAGATGTTTTAAACTTTTTTCTGAATAAGAATCATCAGTTGTAGTTTGATTTCTAGTTGTGTAGTTTGAGTTACACTTATTTCTGCATATGTTTTTATATAATGTGACCAAATGCTTCACTTATGCAGTATCTTGCTTCACATTTATATCCTATACCAGGCTTCAGCAACTTAGTGGTATTGTGTCAGAAAGATGATTTTCATTGGCACACTGTCTACTCTAGTATCCTAGGTAAAACTGCAGTGTAGAATAAATTTTGTTTTTGGTGCTCCCCTACCTACCTAATTTGTGCCTCTTTTTGAACCCATTGTCACCCCTTCTTCCATGTGTTTTACTCTCTACTCCTTAATTTCATAAAATCACAGGGTTTTAGTTTTGAAAAGCATTTGGTCTAACCTCTAATTTGGTCTGATCACTGATGCAGTGATATCTACCGATTAATTAACAAGCATTTATTAAGTACCTACTCTGTGTCAGGCACTGTTAGATGCCAGGGTACAAAAATAAAGAATGAAAATAAACCTTATAGTGAGCTTACATTCTGATGGAAAATTATCACTTAAGGAAAATTACTTTTGTCCCAGAGTAGAGGATGTATTGGAGTGGTGAGAAGCTTGAGGCAGCGAATCCAGCTAGAAGGCTGTCACAATAATATGGGCAGTAGGTAATGGAGCCTGAACTAAAGTGGTAGCTGGGGGAGTAGAGGGTAGAATTCCACTCAAAGAGGTATTGTGAAGGTAGAAATAGCAAGATTTGACAGCTGTTTGGGTTTGTAGCAGGGAGGAAATATGAGGAGCTAAGGATAATAATGAGATTATGAACCTGGGAAATTAGAAGGACAGTGACAGAAATAGGAAAGTTGGAAGAGGGAGAGTTTAGGGGAAAAGATACTGAGTTCCACTTTTGACATGTCACATTTAAGAGGTGTCCGGTACATCCAATTTGAAATGCCCAGTCGGTAATTGGTGACCTGGGGCTGAAGCTCAGGGAGAGACTGGAGCTGTATATCTGTATCTCTCTCTCTCTTTCTATCTCCGCCTCCATCTCTTTCTTGGCCATCTGCACAGCCATGATCGTTCATCCCATGGCAGCTGAAGAGGTTACCAAGAGAGAACATTAAGGGATGCCCTCTGCAGCATCCTGGAGAAGTGTCTCCATCAGCTTTTGCTTGATCATCTTCATTAAGAGGGAACTTGCTTCCTCAGAAGGGAGTCTGTTCTGTTTTTAGGAAATTCTTCTTTATATTGAGCCAAAGGCTGACTCCCTGTAACTTGTACTTTGTGGTTCTCCTTCTCTCCAGAGCTGCATAGAATAAGTCTAATCTCCCTTCCATGTGACAGACCTTCAGCTATTTGAAGAAAGCTATTAAGTAATTTTTCTCCAGGCTAAACATCTCCAGTTCCTTAAACCTAAACTGGTTCCTTAAACCAGAGTCAGGCTTTGTGCTCAGAATCTAATGGGGAAGACAACGTACAAACAACTGTGTACACATAAGTTATATACTAGATAAATTGGAGATAATCAACAGATGGAAGGCAGTAGGGTTAAGGGAGATAGAGAGAGGCTTCCTGTAGAACGTAGGATTTTAGTTGGGACTTGAAGGAAGCCAGGATGGATTGAAGACAAGGAGCATTCCAGGGATGGGAGACAGCCAGAAAAAATGTCTGGAGCTGAGAGATGGAGTCATAAAGGTTATGGAAGGTAAAATAGGGTGGGAGGGAAGGAGCCTTTGGGTGAGTCAGATCTATGGATGGTAATATACTGACCTTGGTTCAGGATAATGTTTTATAGTTGCCATATTTCAAATTTTTTTTCCCTGTGAAGTGCTTTTTTTTCCCTTTTTTTGGTGAGGCAATCAAGGTTAAGTGACTTATGAAGTGCGTTTTTTTAAAAAATTTATCCACCATATAGATTCACCACTTAGTAGGTGCTTAGTACGTGCTATCACATATTACACATAGATTGTGAAATTCAATATTCAGTATAATATTAGGGACACATACTTAGGAAATACTTTTTATAATGAATTAGTAAGGGAAAATTGCAACTGTTTGCATTTGTTTTTTCATTTTATTTCTTATAGGAAGAGTTGGATTTATCATCTAGTTCCCAGATGTCTCCCCTCTCTTTATATAGTGAAACCTCTAACAGCCCCTCCTCATCGGAGTTACTAAAGGAAGACAAGCCTGTCATTGGTGCTACAAACAGGACTGGTATTGCTTATCTTTTGACTAATTTTTCTAACGTGGGCATAGGTTTATTTTCACGTTCTCCAGGGGAGTCTTAGAGTTAGAGTTTCTCTGATTAAGCTTTCTTGCTTTTGTGAAATTCATGGAGATGTATTGGTCCATGATGATTCGCTGATTAGAGACAGAGGAAGAAGTAATCTTTTTTATTTCTTTGTTTTCCTTTGTAACATCTCTGTGTTTCTAGTTAGTAGCTTCCTCAGACAGACATAATGGACCTTAAAAATAACCTTTATTATCTTAAGTAGTGAGATCTAATCCACAATTAAATGTACCTATTTTATGGCCAATATTTAACCAAGGTAATATATAGAAGAAAAGGTTTAAAGGATGTCATCAAGGGATTGTGTAACAGGAAGAAACAATGGGCTGGTCACATGGTGAGAGTGAGTAATGACCGGTGGGAGTGCGAGTGCTCCACTGATACCTTCAGGACCTCAGGAGAAAGTAAAGAAGGCCTCTAGCCCATTGGGAGGGTCTCCTGTGGAGAACTCTTGGGAGAGCAAGGATGAGATTCAGATAGAATGGACAGGCATAGATGAGTTACGATCTGCATCATTGGAGAGAATTCCTGACTCAGTTGGATCATAGATCCATTTAAGTATTTGAGAGTGATAAGTAGAAAATAAGTAAGTGTATTAATTTTTATTCTTCATACTTTAATTGATCCAGTCAGATTCATTTGTGGTTTGATGGTTTTTTTTTTCCTATAGTAAATGGACTGACTCCAAAAAAACAAAGTCACATTATTTCAAAGCCTTCAATTCAGCCCAAGCCTTTACTTCTGCCAGCAGTACCCAAGAGTCAAGCCAACTCTAGCATTCCAACCAAAGCAATCATCATTCAGACACTCCCAACACTTCTACCCTTGACAAAGCAGCAACCTGTTATTCACATTCAACCTGCACCTGCTAAAGGTACAATATTGAAGTATTTGTGATTGTGTCTATCAGAGGTTCTGAAGTTATTTGGCCTAATGCCCCCTTTAAAAAAAAAAAAATTACTCTGTGCCCCCTTGGAAAGCTTTCTTTAACTTTAATGGTTAACCCTTTCTTTAACTCTTTAACGGTCTTTTTGAAATTTGTGTCATTCCAAAAAAAATATAAAATATATTTTTAAAAAATGACGCACCTTTTTTTTGGTGAGGCAGTCGGGATTAAGTGACTTGCCCAAGGTCACACAGCTAGTACATGTCAAGTGTTTGGTCTGAGACCGGATTTGAACTCAGGTCCTCCTGACTACAGGGCCGGTGCTCTATCTACTGTGCCTCCTAGCTGCCCCTAAAAATGACGCATCTTAAATTTAATAATTTATTGTAAATTTGTGGGGTTTTGCTGGTGTTGAAATTTTGATAATGCAATATTGCATCATGTAACCATATAGTATTGTATTGTAAACAAGTCTTTACATGCACATATACCTGCTGATGCATGATGGACTTCTCAACAATGCACAACACGCTTGCCTGCCAACACTTGCTTGTTAAGAACTGTCAGTGGACTTGACCACTGATTGGTTATAACTTGCATTTTGTGTGTTTATTATCTTCTCTTCTTTCCTTATGCTCCCACTGCTCCTTTATTTTTATTCAATGCCCTCCAGTTGCACCCAAGGCTACTACCACCACCCGCATTCGTTCCAGAGCCCCCTTCAGAGGGTGGCATTGCACACTGTGAGAACCTATGGATATGGCTAGAAGACAATAAGATTTGTCTTAACAAGCAGGCCTTTGAAGCCATTTTAAAGGACAGGGCTTTGTGAGATATATGAGGCGACTTTTGCAACTAAGCACAAAAACAAAATTGTCCTTATTTTTAGCATTCTGTAGTTTACACATGGCTATTTAGGGATAGAGTAAAGTAATCATGATATTTATAGTAATAAAAATGATTTTTAATGGTATCCGAGGTGGCTAACAGATAATAATGTTTGTTTCCTATAAATCTTTATAAGATGTCATTCTGAGGAAAGAGGTAAATTGGGAATATATGCCTTGATGACTTGTTTTCAGTGTCAGACAGAAATCCAAGTTTCCCAATTCTTTATCCGGTTGTTTTATTTTCAAGTTATACCTGTGGAGAAACATGACTCTGGGGCTTTTGAATATTTACTTCAAAGATCTCTATTTTCTTAGTGTGAGTAACCTCTACCAATTGTAAATCTGAACTCCAAAACACTTTAGTAGATTTTTTCATGATTTTATTTGTCTGAAAAAAAAAATTGTCTCACTTAGTGGTTAACCTTTTGGCAGTGAGCTTCTCTGAACTGTTGTAGTCTGCAGAGACAGTCTGTAGCTAAGCCCATACTTGAGGCTTTCCAGATTGGTAGAATCTACCATATCTACTGATTTGAGGATATAGCCTTCAGGAATCCATTGTTATCTGACCTCCATTGCCAAGGTCAGTCATGAGAGGAGGCTTTAAATGGAGGCTATTTGACATTTGATAAATCCCATTAGAAATGAAAATGAAACCTAGGAAACTTTCTTGACCAAAACAACAACTACAACACCAACAACAACAATAACAAATACAATTTATATGACACTAAAAAGGTTGCGAAGCACTTTTAATGTCATTTAATCCTCTCAACATCTCTGATATAAGCATTACAGATATTTATCTACCTAACAGACTATAAGCTACTGGAGGGCAGAGACTGTCTTGTTTTGGTGTTTGTAACCTCAGTGCCTAGCTTAGTGTTTGGCACAGAGTTGGTACTTAGTAATTGCTTGCTGAAGGAATAATGAATCACCACTGTACCGATGATGAAGAAAGTGAGCCTTAGAGAGAGAAGATGATTTGCTTGTGGTCATAGCTATTAAGCATCACAGGTGAAATTCAAACAGAGCTTGCCTCACCCCAAGTCCAGTTCTTTTGAGGCTTTGTGACATAGTGGATTGAGCATGGGATATGATTTCAAGGAGACTTGGGTTTAAATTATGCCTTGGGCATTTATTATCTTGGGTGACTCTGGGAAAGTACTGTCACCTTTCTTAACCTCAGTTTCCTCATATGTAAAATGAGGGAAGTTGGAATCAGTGATTTCTAAGGTCCCTTGCAGCTTGAAAGGTGTGATCCTAGGAACTCTCCCTGCACCTCACTGCTTGCCTTTCTTTTGAGGCTTCAGCCCCTTGAATTTGTAATCTCTCAGGTGAGACTTTAAAGTATGTGTATATACCTACATAGTGGGTGCATATGTGTGTGTTTGTGTGTGTCCATATCTGTGTAGTGCTTGTGTGTATGCAGTCATGTACATATGCATGAGCTTAGGTGCACGTGCATGTGTGTGCATGTATGTTGCATGCACACACATGCACATGTGCTACATTGTTGTGCTTATATGTGTTGTGCATATTGTGTGTATGTGTGTTTGTGTGTACATTGTGTGCACATGTGTGCTTGTGCATATGTGCATGTGCATGTTGTGCATGTTGTGTGTGCGGGTGTAGCAAATTGATTTTTCATAGTCTGAGGAGGCAGTGTGGTTCAGTGGAAAGAGCAGAGACCTTGGAGTTGTAGGGCCCAGCAAAGCCCATCACGAGCTGTGTCCCTTGACAGTTTGCTGAGCCTTGCACTTTGTGGGTTGGATTAGATGCCCTGAGGTACCTTCTGGGTTTAGGTCCAGGCTCTTCTGAGTCTGTGAATGAGCACAGACATCGCAGTTTTGGACCCTTCTCTGCCAACACTTAATGAAGACTTCTTTTAAACTTTTTGGACCTTAGTTTCTTCAATTATAAAATTAAAATTTCAGGCCTCTTGCTACTAGATGGAAGTGTGCTAGAATCTCAGTGAAATGTGTGTGTATTGCCTGTGTTGTCCAGCAGATGGCCTGACATACTCAGAGTAGCTATATGAACAGATGAATTAGTTTTTAGAGAAAAACAAAAAATTTTTTGGTCACCATCTAGCTGGAGAAAGCATTACCATAGAGAGCCCATTGAAGCCCATTGCTCAGCATTGTGCTTTCATCAGAGTCAGATAGCTGTGTAATGTTGACATTATGGTTGCCGGGGAAAGTGCTGTGGGTTTGGGAGTCTAAGGACCAGTTCTCCTTCCCTTTGTCGCTCACTCTTGGTGGGACCCTGGGCAATTTTGCTTCCTTTCTTTGCTCTTCGATTTCCTCATCTGCAAAATAAAGAGTTTGGGTGTGATCTCTACAGTCTCTAAATCTGAGATTGTTGTATGATCCTGAGTCCCCTAACATCTCTGAGTGTCAGGTTCCTCATCTGTAAAATATGAAGAATAGCACTCATGTTGCCATCCTTACAGGATTATTGTGAGGAATTCATTTTGTAAATGTTAAGGTGCTATGTGAGAGTGAGTTGTCAAATATTTAAGCAAATTTTGGCAGACCCAGTTATCACTCCTTTTTTGGATTTAGCTTTGTTGGATTTATTTAAGATATAGTAGGACAGAGTCATAACATGGCTTGTGCAGCAAATTAATACTTTTACTTTTATCCCTGTGTTGATGGCCCTGTATTAGTACAGAAGAAAACTCTTCCATACCTTAGTGCCACAGTTTTTAACATGGGGTCCACGGACACCTAGGAGTCTGTGGATCTGTTTCAAGGGGCCTGTGAATTTGGATGGGGAAAAATTATATCTTCATTTTCACTAATGTTTAATTGAAATTTAACATTTCCTTTAATTATGAATTTTATTTTTTTGATAATTAATTTATTTAATTTTAGTTTTCGACATTCACTTCCATAAGATTTTGATTTCTCATAAAGTCACTAGCTTCCAATTGCTCTATTCTAATTTTTAAGGAAGTATTTTCTTCAGTAATCTTTTGGACTTCCTTTTCCATTTGACCAATTTTGTTTTTTTTCTTCAGTAATCTTTTGGACTTCCTTTTCCATTTGACCAATTTTGTTTTTTAGGGCATTCTTCTCCTCATTAGCTTTTTGGACCTCTTTTGCCATTTGAGTTAGGCTATTTTTTAAGGTGTTATTTTCTTCAGTTTTTTTTGGGTCTCCTTTAGCAAACTGTTGACCTGTTTTTCATGATTTTCTTGCATCACTCTGATTTCCCTTCCCAGTTTTTCCTCTACTTCTCTTACTTGCTTCTCAAAATCCTTTTTGAGCTCTTCCAAGGCCTGGGACTGATTCATATTTTTCTTGGAGGCTTTGGATGTAGGAGCTTTGACTTTGTTGTCTTCTTCTGGTTGTATGTTTTGATCATCTTTGTTACCAAAAAAAGATTCTATGGTCTGACACTTCTTGTGAGGTTTGCTCATGATCCCAGCCAATTACTTGAGTTATAAACTCTTTATTAAGGTAGAGGTCTGCTTCCAATGTGGAGAATATACTGTCCCAAGCTTCGGGGGTTTGTACAGCTGTTTTCAGAGATACTTCTAGGGACCCATAAATTTTCAGTTCTTCCAAGGTGCTATGATCAAGGGCGAAGCGTGTACTCCTTTCCTGGCCTGTACTCTGGCCTATGAGTGATCACACGTACTCTTTTCTGTCTTGGAATTGTGAGGAGGATTTCCTCTCCACCGCCACTACAAGCTCCACCAGGCCATCACTCCTCGCCCCAGGACTGCCCCTCAGAACTGTGACCCAGATCCAAGCATGGGCAGAGCGAGAGATTCCTGCCTCAGCAAAGAGATCCTTGCAGTCCCCCTCTGATCAGCCACTCGATTCCCCCTCAGTCTGTGGGCCAGAAGCTCAGGAGGCAGCTGCCGCCCCCGGGGCCAAGCTTGGGGAATGGGGTGGAACTCCACTGGGCTTCTCTCTTACCTTGGAGACAGACTTTTCCCACTGACCTTCTAAGTTGTCTTTGGCGTTTGTGGGTTGAGAGGTCTGGAAACTGCCACAGCTGTGGGCGATTCAGTCCTCTGTGGCCTGCATGCCCACGCCAAACTACACTCCTCTCCCAGCCCAGTGCAATATACCTTTCTGATCAACC